CCCTGCGGGGCTCCTTAGGTATGTGAATATAACAGAAAAACTTGAAACTTAAAATCTGAACTATTGTTATTAAGGTTGAAATTAAAAAAAAAACCTTGTATTATTAATGTCATGATGGAATTTCCCGAATTTAGGAACTTGGCTTCTGTTAGCTACAACAGTAACAAGTCAATTAAGTCAATTAGCTGCTAGCTGCCACTAGCAAATGCATATACTGCTAGTTAGCATGTGCAGCCTTGTTAAATAATTATAAAAGTTCTTACATCTATAGCTCAATTTGGTTGTAGCTGCCAAGATTTGACCAATATGAAGCTAGAACATATATTTCTGTATTATGTCTCAAATTTGAACGCTTTGGTGTCCTCTCTATTGTTATCTTTGTTCTAATCTTATATTTTATTGCTTGCTTTCCCAGCAGTAACACTAAAACATATCACAGATTCTTACTAAAAACTAGATCTGAAAGGGGCTACCTAGATGTCAGTTCAGTACAGCACATTTTTTACATGATCGGAGCTTCTTCTTTTTTCTTTTTCTTTTTTTTTGATAGGATGCAAAAACACAAAGCCTAAGGTAAATTGGCACAAGTGTTTAGGACATTTCAGGAAAAGGTCAGCAGCAGAACACAATTAAAGCACCATCATTTTTTGCAACACAACACTGATACGCTGTAGCTGGAGAAGACAGGGAACTGCATTGTGTGCTATGAGACATGAAAAAAGAAATTTCACGTGCTTTAAATATACTCGCAAAGGGAAACAGTGCTGCTAATTATTTAAGTAAGTATTCAATAAAATTGTGTTTCTTTTGGGCTGTGCTTCATTGTTAATGGTGTCTCCTCCACCAGAAATCTTGGTTATGTGCTGTGAAGGGTCTGCATCTGCTGCATGACCAGAGCTTAGCACAGGCTTGATGGGAAGCATTGTGACGAAAGCAATATCCATAGAGACAGCTCTGCTTGCTTGCCTGCAGACTGACCAGTAACGTCTCCAAGTGTGCATTCATTTGTGATAGAGGGGCTGATTGCACTTTTTGGTCACACAAACCATAAAATCGTATAAAAATTAAGTAAATTCAAACTTCAGGCACAACATCCACACTCTCTGACTACATTGGACGCCCGTGAGAATCACAAAACAGATTTGATCAGTATTTGAAATTGTCCAACTAGGTTTTAAGGCGCCACATGGTTGTTTATTGCGA